AGATGCTGCCACCATGCTTCTCATACAGCCTGCAGAACCATGAGCCAAAATAAACCTCTTTATGAATTACCCAGCCTCAGCTATTCCTTTATAGTGACGCAAAATGGACTAACACAGAAAATAAGAGAAATATGTGCATATTTAAAGCACAAGGCACTACATAAAAAGCTGCTGACGTCGTGTTACACTTTGGCTGTGGAGGTTGAGTAGGGAGGACTCCCTGGCAGAGGTGGCATTTGAATTGGATCTTGAAGGGTATGTACGGTTTTAACCACTGAAATCAAGCATATGCAGAGAAGTGTATTGCAGATGGGAGAAGTGTATTGAGTGGGAAAGGACAAGTGGTGTGTGGGAGCCCTAAGAATCTGACGTGGGGGCAGGGAGAAGATTCCGTGTGTGGTGGGCCTGGAAAGGTGGTTGGGGCCCCCTTGGCTACAGGTGGACAAGTTTGACTTTTACTATGGTGGTGAGGACCATCGTTCTGTTCTTCCGCTTAGTAGCGGGGTAACCCAGGCAAGACACTGAAAGCGCACCTGCCAGAGCACCTTCCTCCTCCTCCTCTGTTAGGCAGAGTTGGCCTCTGCTGCCTGCTCTTGTTGTGAGGGTTACCCGAGATGATGATGTTCTTGTCTTTTTGGGTTGTGAGATGGGTGGGGGGCTCTTACATGTTCGTATGTGGTGTGAGTGTGTGTGTTTGTGTGTGTGTGTGCATGTGCTATTGAATTTTCCGAAAAATATAGACTTTAAAAGTTCACACACAGACATACCGAAAATAGGGACATTTAAAGCATCAAACATTTTTTTCTCTGAATCTGCACTTGGTCCAAGTACATGTTAACTTACGTTTTTTTCGCTGAGTGTCACCTCTGGTACACGTTCCTACGTGCTGTGTTGTGGACCTAGGTTGCCTACGTGCCGTCTTCGATGGTCTCATCACACTATGATCATCTTAATGGTCAGGGTTACTTCATGTGCCTATCTTAACTTCTTTCCAAGTCCCCTCGTTTTAAATGAAGCTCCTGAAAACTTCTGTGGATCTAGGGTTTAGGGACCATTTCCTTGATATCTGTCATCCTCCTGGAGCCTTTGATTCTGGGAGTAAAGCAGAGCTGCTTATTGGCCCCTGAATGTTTGCTGGATGTAAGTCTTAGTTGAACATTTCCCAGTTTTCTTGTAGCTAGTTGTGGCCACATGACTAAGTTCAGGAGAGTGAGATATAAGTGGGGAGTATAACTTGCTTGGAGGAGCCCTTAAAATGAAGGTTTATGTTCTTCTCATCTTTCCTCTCTCCTGTTGCCTGAAATGCAGATGTGATGGCTGGAGTTGAAGCAGCCATCTTGGACTCTGAGGTGAACTTAAGCATAGAAGCTATGCAGGATAGAAAAAACGATATATTATAGTAAGGGTCCCAAACATGTTAGACCATCATCGCAGCTCCAGACAACTTACCAGTTTTTTATGAGAGGAATAAATACTATCTTGTTTATTTATTTATTTATTTAATTTATTTTGAGATGTAGATTTTCTCTTGTTGCCCAGGCTGGAGTGCAATGGCATGATCTTGGCTCACTGCAATCTCTGCCTCCTGGGTTCAAGCAATTCTCCTGCCCCAGCCTCCTGAGTAGCTAGGATTACAGGCACCTGCCACCACGCCCAGCTAATTTTTGTATTTTTAGTAGAGATGGGGTTTCACCATGTTGCCCAGGCTGGTCTTAAACTCCTGACCTCAGGTGATCTGCCCATCTCTGCCTCCCAAAGTGCTGGGATTACAGGTATGGGCCACTGCTCCCAGCCATACTTATCTTGTTTTAATTTCTTATTTTAGATTTTCTGTCACTTACAAGTTTAGGTCTGATGAACACAAAGAGCTTTCTGTCTCTGTCATGTAGCACCAGATTATATGCCTGAAATACTCAGCTGCTTTGCAGGGCTACCTGCAATCCCATTTTCTAGTGGAGGCAAGAAAGAGGAAGATGGGGAGAGAGGAGAGGCAGCTTTGCACTCGCTAAGGCTCTTGTTACAAGGACTAGATTGCAAACATTTTTTTTTCATATTGAGTGTTTATGAGTTTTAGATTTCACCAGAAGCTTCGGACTGTTTATTCTGGTTTGTGTTTCTGACTCCAAATCCTTGTGCTTTGACAGGGCTAGATTTGGTGATGAAGGCAGCCACGTGTCTTCCCTCAGCCTCAGTTCTGTGCCTTAGGTTGAGAACTCTGCTAGGTTAACACCCCCCGCCCCCCGTGCCAGTGTTGTCCAGCTCCTCCTGAGAGTTGGTGTCCCCACCACACCAGCACAAGAAAGGCCTGGAGACCAGGTGCGGTGGCTCATGCCTGTAATCCCAGTGCTTTGGGAGGCTGAGGTGGGAGGATTTCTTGAGGCCAGGAGTTCAAGACCAGACTGGGTAACACAGCAAGACCTCATCTCTACAAAAAATTTTTAAATGAGCTGAGCATGGTGGTGTGCACTTGTAGTCACAGCTACTTGGGAGGCTGAGGCAGGGGGATCACTCGAGCCCTAGAGTTCAAGGTGACAGTGAGCTATGATCACGCCACTGCAGTTCGGCCTAGGTGACAGAGTGAGATCCTGTCTGTATCCAAAAAACGAAACCAAAAGGCCTGGGGCCCAGTCTCAACAATGCTGCATCCTTGAGATGCTGTCATTCATTCATTCACCGTCTCTTTGTTGAGATGGTCTCGGGGTCTCCTTGGCCATACCTTGGCACTTGCTGAGTGTCAAGCTGGGTTTGTGCTGGCCACTGGGAGTCTTCAGTGTTCACTTCACCTCTTTGCCCAGCCTCGGGAAAGGTTTGTCCTGAAACGGCTGGGACTTGAACTCCCTTTTCCAGGGACGGTACAGGCCTGTTCTGAGCCTGTAAGAGCCTGCCTGGAGCTGCTCAGCAACAGCCAAAGAGCACTCCCAGGACATGAGAGGCCCCAGGAATGGCCTGGGATTTAGCTGGATGGGCTGTCTGGAGAAGCTGGGCCAGATCCCATTGAGGTGGCCTGAAGGACAGTGAGGGTCTTGTTTCCACCGGACAAGGCCACCCCAGCCCTAGCTCTGCAGTCCTCAGGTGTCAGAGCTTGGTGTCGCTCTGGAAACTTCTCATCCAGTCCCTGCTTACAGAAGAGTTGGTGGTTCAGAGAGGAGAAGTGGTTTCCCCGAGCTCTCACAGCTAGACCCAGCTGTCTCCAACGCTCTGTACGGTGGCACCCGGGCCACTCCATGGCATGAGGCCCCAGAGATGAAATGTGGGCACATCAGCCTTCACTGGCTGCCTCCCTCTCTAGCCTCTGGAAGGGGCTGAGCTGTTTCCTGCCTCTGGGCCGAAGCATAAGTGCCCCACCTCTACCTCTTGCAAGAAGCCTCCCAGGCTGTGCGAGGCCTGCAGGACTGCCATACACCATTGTGCAGGTTGTTCACTGCTCACGTGCTCCTGGCTGAGGCAAAGCTGGGTAGGGGCTGAAATGTCATTATCTTGCCAAGCTTCATGTCATGGCAGATATGGATAAGGGTGAGGTGGGGGTTGGCCTGTACCCATGGGCAGCAAGGAGCACCCCTTCCTTTTTTTTTGAGATGGAGTTTCACTCTTGTTGTCCAGGCTGGAGTGCAGTGGTACGATACTGGCTCACTGCAGCCTTCACCTCCTGGGTTCAAGCAATTCTCTTGCCTCAGCCTCCCAAGTAGCTGGGATTACAGGCATGCACCACCACACCTGGCTAATTTTTGTATTTTTAGTAAAGACAAGGTTTCACCATGTTGGCCAGGCTGATCTTGAACTTCTGACCTTGTGATCCGCCCGCCTCAGCCTCCCAAAGTGCTGGGATCACAGGCGTGATCTACTGTGCCCAGCCAGAGCACCCTTTTCCAATTTATGCAGAGGCCCTCTACAGGCTACCAAGGACCCCAGCCATAGAAGAGCCGGCAGCACACTGGGCACTCCCTCCTGATGCCTGTGGCAGCTCATTCTGTGTGTGACCCCACTAGACTGTAAGCTCCCAGCAGCAGGGACAGTGGCTCCTCCTGGTGGGGTGTGGGGGTGGCATTACCGGGTCAGCACCATGCAGGGCACAGAATGCTTCACCACAAACACTGGCGTGATGGAGAGTTGAAGGGGAAGAAAGGAGGATCTAGCGCAGGGCTTGGTAAGTGTTTGCTGAATGACTCTATGGCGGGTTCATGCCAGACAGGTGAAGAGGAATTGCCCAGGACAGAGGGCCTCTGGGAGAGGGTACAGGGCCCACTGGGAGGCCTGCCAGGGGTGGAGAGGGCTGCGAACTGTGAACATCTGAGAAAAAAGGTGGGCAGCCAAGGGAGAGGATCCAGCCACAGGAATGGGGCGGGGCCAGCCACAGTCGGGGGGGGAGTTGCCAAGGCCCCCAGATTCCCTTCAGCTATAGCCTCTCAGGCAGCACCATGTCCCGGAGCCCCGCTCTGGTCTGCACGGCACTGCGCCAGCCAGGATGTGATCACCTGTCTTTGTTGCAGGGACCTTCAGTCTTGTGAAGATGCAGGAGTGATATGCAGTGCTGTGGCCACAGGGTGCAGGGCAGACGGTCCTGTGGAGAGCCAGGGGCTCTCCGGCTGGCTGAGGGGCATCCTGCTCAGACTGGGGTGGTGTCTGGGGGACCTTTCCTTGGGGTGTGAGTGCCACACAAAGCCGTGTCTGGGAGTTCTCAGGTGAACTCGTGGTGGGGGTGGAGGGGCTATTGCAGGCTCCACTTACCTGCCATTGACAGTCTACTGGACGGACAGGAGAGGGGACCAGACAGCAGAGGCTCTTGGGCCATATCCTGAGGGCAATGGAGACTATGGGCAGGAATTTTCCCCCCATTTAAAAAACAGAGCTATTGGCCAGGCCCGGTGGCTCACACCTGTAATCCCAGGGCTTTGGGAGGCCGAGGCAGTTGGATCACTTGAGCTCAGGAGTTCGATATAGCCTGGGCAACATGGTGAAACCCTATCTCTACAAAATTTTTAAAAAAAATTAGTCAGGCCCTGGTGTGATTCTGTCCTGCGGGGCTGTTCTTTTGAGCAGTGGTTGTTTATCTCCATCCGCCTTCTCTCCCACTTAAGTGCGTGCCGCCACCCGGTAGAAGGTTCGATGGACATGGACATGAGCCCCCTGAGGCCCCAGAACTGTCTTTTTGGTCGTGAACTAAAGACCGACAAGATTATCAGTTTAAGGTGGACAATGATGAAAATGAGCACCAGTTATCTTTAAGAACCATCAGTTTAGAAGCTGGTGCAAAGAATGAATTTCATGTTGTTGAAGCAGAGGCAATGAATTACGAAGGCAGTCCAACTAAAGTAAAGTAACACTGGCAACTTTGAAAATGTCTGTTCAGCCAGCGGTTTCCCTTGGGGGCTTGGAAATAACACCACCAGTGGTCTTATGATTGAAGTGTGGTTCAGGGCCAGTTCATATCACAGCACTTGGTAGCTCTGGAGGAAGATGCAGAGTCAGAAGGTGGAGAGGAGGAGGATGTGAAACTCTTGAGTATGTCTGGAAAGCGGTCTGCCCCTGGAGGTGGTAGCAGGGTTCCACAGAAAAAAGTAAAACTTACTGCTTCTGCTGATGATGAAGAAGATGATGATGATTTTGGTGATGAGGAAACTGAAGAAAAAGCACCAGTGAAGAAATTTATACGCGATACTCCAGCCAAAAATGCACACAAGTCAAATCAGAATGGAAAAGACTCTAAGCCAACATCAACACCAAGATCAAAAGGACAAGAATCCCTCAAAAAACAGGAAAAAACTCCTAAAACACCAAAAGGACCTAGCTCTGTAGAAGGCATTAAAGCAAAAATGCAAGCAAGTATAGAAGAAGGTGGTTCCCTTCCCAAAGGGGAAGCCAAGTTCATCAATTATGTGAAGAATTGCTTCCGAAGGACTGACCAGGAGGCTGTTGAAGATCTCTGGCAGTGGGGGAAGTCTCTTTAAGAAACTCGTTTAAACCATTTTTTAAAAATGTTCCATCTTACTTCATTTCTGTAACAGTTGATATCTGGCTGTCCTTTTTATAATGCAGAGTGAGAACTTTCCCTACCGTATTTGATAAATATTGTCCAGGTTCCATTGCCAAGAAGGCGTTGTCCAAAGTGCCTGCAGTTTTTAAAGATTTTTTAAAACCCTTTGCTTGGTTCTAAGTGTGTATGAAATGTTATGATAGTAGTAGTGGTGGTCAGACATGGAAATGGCGGGGAGACAAAAATATACATGTGAAATAAAACTCAGTATTTTAATTAAAAAGAAAATTAGCCGGGCATGGTGTTACATGCGTTTAGTACCAGCTACTTGGGAGGCTGAGAGGCAGGGGGATCACTTGAGCCCGGGAGGCAGAGGTTGCAGTGAGCCAAGCTGGCACCACTGCACTCCAGCCTGGGCAACAGAATGAGACCCTGTCTCAAAAAAAATAAATAAATAGATTAATAAATAAACACTGAGCCATGTCTCAGTGTGCTGGGGCTACTGTAACAAAGTGCCACACACTGGGTGGCATGAAACAATAGAAACTGATTCTCTCATACCTTGGAGGCCAGAAGTCTGAAGTCAAGGGATGGCCATTCTCCCTCCAAAGGCCTTCCCAGAAGGATTCTTCAAGCTTCCAGTGGCCCAGGCAATCCCTTGGGTCTGTGGCTGTACCTCTTCACTCTTGGCCTCCATTGTCACCTGGCTGTCTTCTCTCCATGTCTGTCTATATTTCTCCCTTTCTTTTCTTTTCTTCTTTTTCTCAGTCACCCAGGTTGGAGTGCAATGACATGATCTCAGCTCACTGCAACCTCCTCCTCCTCCTGGGTTCAAGTGATCCTCTTGCCTCAATCCCCTGAGTAGCTGGGACTACAGGTGCCCACCACCACACCCAACTAATTTTTGTATTTTTAGTTGAGACAGGGTTTCACCTTGTTGATCAGGCTGGTCTCGAACTCCTGACCTCAAGTGATCCACCCTCTTCGGCTTCTGAAAGTGCTGGGATTACAGGCATGAGCCACCATGCCTAGCCCTCTCTTTCCTTCTTATAAGGACATCAGTCATTTTGGATTTAGGGCCCAGCTTACTCCAATAGGACCTCATCTTAGCATTACATCTGCAACAAACCTAAATAAAGTCACTTTCTGAAGTGCTATAGGACTGTATCTTTTGGGGGGATGTGATGGAAACTGTAACAGACTATAATTTATATGGAGTAAAATGCACTGTCTTTAGTGTACATTTCTGCACGTTTGGACAAACAGCCATGCAACTGCCACGGCAATCAGGACAGAAAATTCCATCACCCTCCAGAAGCCCTCGTGCCCTTTTGTAGTCAGCGCCTCTTGTGCCCCAGACCCTGGCAGTCATTTGTTTCTGCTCCATCCCTGAGTTCTGCCATCTCGAGAACGTCCTCTGAATGGAGTCACAGCATGTCACCTTGTGGCTGGCCTTTTCTCAGCCTCCTGCATGTGGTCTGCTTGTGTTGTTGTGTGACTCGGGAGTCGGTTCCTCTTTGTCGCTGAGAATATTTCGTCATGTGGATCTACCAGCGTGTTTATCCCTTCTCTGCTGAAGCCTATTTGGGTTGTTTCCAGTTTGGGGCGATGACAAATACAGGCACTAACAAATGTTTGCATATTCTTTCGGAGTGGGGCCATGCGGGCAGGCTTGCATGTGGGCTGCTATGTGAGGAAGGATGTGGGGGAAGCTCAGGGAGGGGGCCGGGAAGGGGACAGTGGGGGGTCCAGGGAAGCACTGGTGCCTGGACTAGGGCCTCGGTGTCAGGGAGGGGAGAGGTGGCTCGGGGACAGGAGGGCTCACTGGAGTGTCTTGGGAGGCTGAGTGGATGGAGCCTGGCGGGAGACGAGTGTGCGTTGTGGGAACGAGGAGGCCGCCTTTCTTCCCTCCTACCACCTCCCTCCCGGGGCGACGGCCATTGTGGCTGAGTGTAGCTGTCTGGACATGTGGAGGTCGAGCAGTAGAACAGTATGGTGTGGTGGTCAGGGCTGTGAGCCCTGGAGCAAACCGCTGGGATTCACGTTCCACTCCGTGCCTCAGTTTCCTTATCTGTAAAATGACAGCTCCTAATTCAGAGTTGCTGTGTATTGTTACATGAGTGGATGTATGTAAGGACATGGAACAGAGTCAGGAACGTAGTAGGTGCTGTTTCCATGGTCTTCTGAAGGGCCCTGATTCCATACCCTCTTGTCCACTCCACTTGCAGTTGGCAGTAGTGCCTGTTGTAGCCCCCTGGAGGTGTGGACGGCATCTTCATCTGGGAACTGGGGGCAGGTCCCCTGACCAGGTCTGCCCTGGCTGCCTGTGGGACCTCTAGGATGATTGCTTGGTCCATTCATATAGTGTGGAGGTGCAGGGTCATACTGTGCCAGGTGGCATGTGAGCAGTGTGTGGCACAGCAGCCCGCACACAGTAGGCACTTTGCAGGAGGCATGAAGACATGATGGAGAGAGGCCTCGGTGACTGGTTCATGGGACACACTCCAGTTTGGGGGCTGGCAGAGGCTCCTCATGCCACTGCCACACATAGCCCCTTTTCCTCCCAAATTTGTCCTCTGTCACTGATGGAAGCTGATGAAGGTGGTGGCCTGTCAGCCTCTGAGCTACATGGCCCATGGTGAGCTGGCACCTGGCCTGGGCTCCAAGGGGAGAGGTGTCATGGGTCCTGGTTCAAATGGCACAGCAGCCCCCAGAATCCAGGCCAGCTGATGGAGACCACCCCTCACACGAGATAGGGTTCATGTCCAGGTTGGTTATGATTGATACCAGCCTAACAAGGGGTCCTTACAGTCAGTTCTCATTGTTCACAGATTCTGTATTTGCAAATCAGCCTACTTGCTAAAATGCATTCGTGAGCCCCAGATCAACCCTTTTGAAGCCATTCGAGGACATAGGCGCAGAGCAATGAAATATTCAAGTTGTCCGATGGGCACATTCCCAGCTGAGGTTGAACAGGGAGATGCTCTGTTTTCTTTCAGCTCCCATGCTGCAAACAAGTGTCCTTGTTGAGGTCTATTTTGTGTAATGTTTTCATGCTTTTTTAAGTGGTTTCACTTTTTAGGCCCCAAAGCATAGTGTTCAACAGCTGTCTTGTGTTCCTAAGTGTAAGAAGGCTGTGATGTGTCTTACAGAGAAAATACATGTGTTCAATAAGCTTTACTCAGGCGTGAGTTAGTCCTGTTGCTGTGAGTTCAATGTCAATGAATCAAGATTATATATTCAATAAGGCGCCCTTCAACAGAGACACACATAAAACAAGGTTATATATTGATTGGCTGATGAAAATGTTGTGACCAGAGGCTTACAGGAACTTAGCCTTCTATTTCCCCTAGGAGCAATGATTCAGTATTTGCTAACTCAGTGTTCATGGTGACTTTATAGAACAAAACCATCATGAATAATGAAAATCAACTGTATCTTCCTCATGTGGATAAATCTGCCCCTAAACTCTCCCCTGCACTGTGCTCACTTCTACTGTCAGCCGCTCATGCCTCTGGGTTAAGAAGTACCGGGTTTTAGCTATGGTCTTTCTTGAAAATGCACAAGTCCTTGGGATATGCACTGCCCCTCCAGTCTTGGAGCCTTGATCCCTTCTCATCTCCAGTGACATTCAAGGGTTGGAAAAGACAGTTTCCAAGGAAGGAAGTGGTCAGTGCTAATATTTTATTTCCTGTGATTTTAACAGAAAGACTCTTGTAGGGAGTAGTATCAATCAAGGCAAATAAAAAGCAGGGATTTTTGAGTTTCACAGATTTGACACTGATAATCACAGCGATTATGTCTTGAGCATTTGCTAAGGGTCGAGATTTTTATCAGTTAATGGTCATAGCCCCCTGAGGCTGGAACTACAATGCCCAGTTTACACGTGAGGAAACTGAGGCACAGCAAGTGAGTGGATCAAAGCTCTTAGCAGTAGCAGAGTTGTGGCCACTTACCAGTTGATTCAGCCACCTGAATCCGGGTTTCTTTGAGTCCATATTCTCTGCCCTAGCCCCTGAACTCCCTGCAACTCTGTGCTTTATCCAAGGTTCTTGGTCCCTTATTGCCTTTTCTACATCCAAGTGTGCCTGGAAGGGATACTGCTGGAACCTCTGCAGCCTTCCAAGCCCCACTGAGGGGATGACCTCCCCATCCTCTACCCAAGTTAGTCCTATGCAGACAACCCAGGTGAAGAACCTGGGAGGTGTAGAAAGGTGCACCCGGCCTCACCCACCAGTCTCTCTCTTGTCATCTGCTGGCAAGGTCCCACCCCATAGTTGCTGTCCTTGGAGTCTTTGGGGGTCATTGAGCCTGGGTAGGATGGGTGTGCCTTGGAGTTTTGGGGAGTCATTGTAACCTGGGTGGGATGGGTGTGCCTGTCGTGCCTTGGAACTCCTCTTTTTAGCATCTTACCTCCTCATTGCCTCGCTGTTGTCCCCAAAGTTAATTCAACAGTATCTTCATCAGCTTGGGCTACAAACAGTGGGGATTGGGTGGGGGTACAAACAGTGGGAATTTATTTCTTGTGGTTCTGGAGGCTGGGAAGTCCAAGATGAAGGCAGCAGCAGATTCTGTGTGTGGCGAGGCCCAGTCACCAAACACCAAACACTGTCATAGATGGAATGTGTGTGTCCCCCCAAAATGTTTATGGTGAAATCCTATCCTCTCAGGAGACACGAACACTTAGTCTATGACACTTGTGCCAGTATTTCAATAAAATACTGGCAAGTGTTTTAGTGTCACACTTAGTGTATGACAGCCAGTGTCCTGAGCTTCCTCTAACCTCCCACTCTTGAAAACTCACCCACAGTGACTTCATGCCTTTGCACAAGGGACTTTGCATGCTTTATAATCTGATGGGGGCAGGTGGACATATATGTTAACAGGGAACAAAACCCTGGTGGTGGGATTTCCAGCCAGGGGTGCCAAGTCCATTTGCTTTGCAAGGGCACCTGGGCCTGGCAGACGGCCCCGTCAAGAGGCGTCAGGACTGTAGTCGGCCTGGGGTAGGCACATGACACGTTTATTCCCCAGCAGAGGAAATGTGGTCACAGCAACTATTAGGTGGGTTGCAGGGTGACTCAGTGTCGCCAGGGGGTGGAAGGAATGTGATGCTGATGTAGTTTCCTGCAAGGGGCGGGTCAGGGCTGCTCTCCTTGGCCTGCACCCTCACGACACTAACAGTGCCCCTGGGAGGGTGGCTGTGGAGAACCAGCAGTGTGTTCTGACCTCCCCCCAGTGTAGAAATGGTAGTTCACTCTGCCAAAGCACATTTCCCATCTCCCTAGTTATTTTAAACCCCTCCCCCTAGTAAGCCCTTGACAAAAGTGGAGGCAAGTCTCCTTTTTTTTTTTTGAAACCGAGTCTCACTCTGTCACCCAGGCTGTAGAGTACAGTGGCGCGATCTCGGCTCACTGCAATCTCCGCCTCCCAGATTCAAGCGATTCTCCTGCCTCAGCCTCCTGAGTAGCTGGGACTACAGGTGCATGCAACCATGCCTGGCTGATTTTTAGTAGAGATGGGTTTTCATCATGTTGGCCAGGCTATTCTTGAACTCTTGCCCTCAAATGGTCCACCCGCCTTAGCCTCTCAAAGTGCCCTCTCAAAGGGATTACAGGCATGACTCCCTTCTTTTATCTTACTGCTAAGAGAACCTAGGCTCATTGAAGGAGGGAGACTTGCTTAAGGTCACACAGGAAGCGAACAGCAACAGGCTAGAATAGACCCCAGCTGCCTTTCCAGCATACAGTGGTTTCTGCACCACCCAGAGCTGCCCAGGATGAGTACTGTCCACAGCCACTATTAATTGACCCACTGTTAAGCACCAGATGCCTTAGTTCTTCTGGTCCTCACAGCTAATCCTATGGGGTCATCTCATTTTAGACACTAGCCAGCCTCAGAGCAGAAGGCAGGCAGGGCACCCAGGCTCCTTATCCTCCCTTCTGGGGGAGGTTGTGTCTACCATGGTGTAATTCTTCCCCACTCCCTCTCCCTCCTCAGCCTCAGCAGGGGAGGGGGAGGCTGCAGTCTCCTCTCCGTGTCCCCCACTCAACTCCAGATGATGAGGAACCGCTGAGTAAGCAGCAGGCAGGACAGAGGCAGGGGTCACAGGGCCACGGTGGGATGTGTGGGCCGCCACGTGTTGCAGGTGCTCCCAGAGGAGGGGCAGTCTCCCCAGAGCTGTCTGAGCCTCTAGCCCTCTTGCTCATTTTCCCAGCCCGGTCTGTTTCTGGGCAGGAGAAGGCAGCAGAAGGAAGGTGAGCATGGGAGCTGGGAGGCTCTTGAAGGCCAGGGAGCTTTGGAGGGGATGAGATCCAGGAGTCTCATCTCAGGCAAAGACCAGGCCCGGGAAGTGGCCTTGAAATGTGCTAGCCTCCCGTGGCAGCTCCCAGGAGGAGGGGCTGGTAAACAGATAGCACAGGACTGATTTGTGTTCCTGAAGAACTTTCCAAACAGCGTGGTGGCTAAAGGTAATAATACTCAACATGCGTCTAGTTCTCCTTCTGTTTGAAAACAAATCCCACAAATAATACGTGAATTCACATATACACTGAAAAGATGTAAACTTTAGAAAAGTCTAGATCTGCACTGTCCAGGGTGATAGCCACTAGTCACATGTAGCTATTTTACAGGTTAGATTCATTAAAATGTGGCAGTAGCACAACCATTATGGAAAACAGTGTACGGATTCCTTAAGGAACTAAAAGTAGATCTACCATTTGATCCAGCAATCCCACTACTGGGTATGTATCCAGACGGAAAGAAGTCATATGAAAAGATACTTGCACACACCCAAAGTTTATAGCAGCACAATTCACAATTGCAAAAGTATGGGATCAGCCCAAATGTCCATCAGTCAACGAGTGGATAAAGAAATTGTGGTCTATATGTATGATGGAATACTACTCAGCTCTAAAAAGGAATGAATTGATAGCATTCGCAGCAACCTGCATGGGATTGGAGACTATGATTCTAAGTGAAGTAACATCGTATGTTCTCGCTCCTAAGTGGGAGCTAAGCTACGAGGATGCAAAGGCGTAAGAATAATACACTGGACTTTGAGGACTTGGGGGAAAGGGTGAGAGGGGGTAAGAGAAAAAGACTGCAAATTGGGTATAGGGTACACTGCTCAGGTGATGGGTGTACCAGAATCTCAGAAATCACCACAAAGAACTTAGGTAACCAAATACCACCTGTTCCCCCAAAAAACCTATGTAAATAAACAAATGTTTTATTAATATGGCAATAGCCTCATTTCAAGTGCTTAATAACCACATATGGCTTGTGGTGACCATACTGGATGGTACAGGTAAAGAAAATTTCCAGCAATGACAAAATTCTGTTGGACAGCACTAGCTAGACCAGAAACTAGGAAACCCTACCAGTCAAAATATCATGTTTGGAATCAGCTTGGTTCCTTTGGGCTTGTTTTATATATGTTTGCGTATTTGTGGCTATCCATAGAGTTAGACTTCTTGAGTTTATAAACTCTCTCCACATAATGATTGTATCTGATCTGCCTAGCAGCTGGGTGCCCTGCCTGCCTTCCGCTCTGAGGCTGGCCAGTGTCTATGGGTAAGAGAATAATGTTCCCCATTTAAAAAAATTACATCCTTTGAGTCATATGTCAACTTAGGTTCATAGAGTAGCTGAGTAAATGAGGCTGGTGTGGTAGCTCACACCTGTAATCCTAGCACTTTGGGAGGTTGAGGTGGGCGGATTACTTGAGGTCAGGAGTTCGAAAACAGCCTGGTCATTATGGTGAAACCTCATCTCTACTAAAAATACAAAAATTAGCTGGGTAATCCCAGCTGTTCGGGAGGCTGAGGCAGGAGAATCACTTGAACTGAGAGGCAGAGGTTGCAATGAGCTGAGATTATGCCACTACACTCCAGCCTGGGCAACAGAGTGAGACTCCATCTCAAAAAAAAAATATATATATATATAAATGGACAAGTGAGGAGAGGTTGCAATGGGTTTGTTCCTTCGGGACAGAGAGGTTCTTGCCCTGGTTTTGTCCAGAGCAGCCGAGGGGCAGCCAGGCAGCGCGGCTCTTCTCAAATCCCTACACCTTCCACTGTCTTGTATGTGAGAGAGAGGCTCTAACAAGCACATTGATCTGGGAAGGCTCATGCCCCAGTGTCTATTCTCCCATTTTTATTGTTTCCCCTAAAGTCTTCACCTATTATTTTGATTGTCATCATAATACACATTTACTGTAAAAATATGGAGTGTTCAGAAAGTGCAAAGGAGGAGAAAGAAATCACTTTATCTCAGGATTAACTGCCACGGTTGTGCCAGTTTCCACTCCCACCTACAGAATAGGAGAGCTGCGGCTCTTCTGCATCCTCCCTAGGCCTTGGAAGTGTCAGCCTCCATTGTGACACCCATGGAGATGGGCCGTTGCTGTTCTGTTTATGATATCCTGATCCTCTTGCTGTTGAGAATCTTTTCATATACTCGTGGCCATGTGGAGATCCACCGTAAGAAGCACCGGGTCAAGCCTCTCGCTCATTTCCCTGTTTGTTATCTTTTCCCTGTTGCTGTGGGCAGTGTAGTTATGAGCCCTTTGTTGGTTGTGTCTGTAAATATATCTTCTCTCACTCAGGGCTTGTGCTATCATTCTTGTTTTCTTTTTTTTTTGTTTTGAGACAGGGTCTTGCTCTGTTGCCCAGGCTGGAGTGCAGTGGCATGATCTTGGCTCACTGCAGCCTCTGCCTCCTGGGTGAGCTTTCATTCTCCTTATGATGTCTTGATGAACAGGAAGTCTTTGTTTTACTGCATTCAGTTTCATCGGTCCTTTCTTTTAAGATTGGCAGATGTGTGTGTGTGTGTGTGCAGGCACGTGCATGCTTTTTCAGAAGTCTCTCCACCATCAGATTATGAAGACATTCTTTACTTTCTTCTACAAGCTTTTTTGTTTTACCTTCCACCTTTAGGTTAGGACACAGTCTACCCAGAACTGATTTTTTTGTTTGTTTGTTTGTTTTTTGAGATGGAGTCTCATTCTTGTCACCCAGGTTGGCATGCAGTGGCATGATCTCAGCTCACAGCAACCTCCATCTCCCAAGTTCAAGTGATTGTTTTGCCTCAGCCTACTGAGTAGCTGGGATTATAGGCACACGCCACCATGCCCAGCCAATTTTTATACTTTTAGTAGACACAGGGTTTTGCCATGTTGGCCAGGCTGGTCTCAAACTCCTAACCTCAGGTGATCTGCCCGCCTCGGCCTCCCATAGTGCTAGGATTAGAGGTATGAGCCACCACACCCAGTCTCTCTCTGCTTTTTTTATTGAACACCTTTGGGGTTCCCATTGGGATCGTACTGATTCTGTATACCTGTTTGTGTAGAATTGATGCCTTGTCAATATTGTCTTCCACTCCATGGACAAAATCTGTCCTTCCATCCCTGCTTCTCCTATTGTGTGTCTGTGATATTTAATGTTTATATCATAAGCAGGCATCAGTAGAAATTTGCCAGTGATTAGAAACATAGACTATTGACTCAAGAAACTGCCAGGGTTCATATCCCCACGCTGCCACTGGCTAATTCTGTAGCCTTAGTGAGTTAACTTCTCTGTGTCTTGGTTTCTTCCTCTCTAAAATGGGAATGACAGCCAGAGTAATCTTATAGCGTTCTTTTAAAGAATTAACTTGGTTAATATATGTTAACCAGACACAGCAATGCATGGCACACAGTAAATAGTAAACTCTGGAAACATAATTTATTTCTGCGTAGGTAATATGCTCATACGATTTAAAACAAAAATATATAGAGAAAAAGATGTACAGGGAAGACATATTCCCACCTTGGTCCCTTCAGGTCCCTGTTTATACCCCTTCCTGACTGCTAGTGTCCTGTATCGTCTTCCAGAGTTTCTTTATGCAAATACAGATAATTACTTTTTTTTCCAACAAGGGAGCACAGTATACATACTGTTCTGTATGTATGTAAGTGGGTAATATTTCCTTAACCACTTAGTGGTTGGGTTGTTTCATATGATACTAATATCTCCTATTACTTCCTACGTCGCTTTTGTCCTTCAACCACACACCCGCCCTAGGAATCTTTCCACATCAGTACACAGAAAGTATTCTTGTGATTCTTCTTAGAGTTGTGGAGTATTCCATTCATTTCCCTGGTCCCTTATTGATGGACATTTAGATTGTTTCCAGTCTTTTCTCCATGGCAGACAACGCTCCCCTGAATCCAGTGAGTACTTTTGTCTATGCGTCCTTTTGCAACCATACATATGAGTTCCCACAATTGCTGGGTCAAGGGGCCTATGTGTTTGCAATTGTGATAGAAGTTACTGAACAGCCCTCAGTGAAGACTGTACTAATTTATGCTTCCTCCAGTTATAAGTGAGTACCTTAGGGACTATTTTTGATGGCTATATATTATTCCAGTGTTTGTATGAGGTTGAACATCTCAAATTGCTTTCTTTCTAGGTCAAAAATGGTTGGATGTTGCCAGTTTCATATGGTACTAATATTCCTTAACCACTCCACTGTTGAACACTCTTTCTTGAGCCCTTATTCTATGTTGGGCTTGGGCATGCGGTGGTAGATAGGCCAGACACTGGAACAAAAGCTTGAGTTTGGGGGGAGACCGGCACCTTACAGGCAGTATCGTTTGACTGTTTCCAGTTTTCCACAACTGCAAGTCATGTGACAGTGAACATCTTTGTCCATTAAGCTTCATTTGCATTTCAAAAGTATCTCTTTGAGATCTAGAAGCAAAATGGCCTGCACTGTGCAGTCTTAGCCAGAAAAAGAGCACAGAGTTCTCTAAATATGCCTGTACACAGCCCAGCTCAGTACCACATATGAATACTCTTAAGGGAAACTATTTTTCAAAGTTTCAAGTTGTGTTATTTTTTGAGTAGGCAATATAGTCACACGGTTCAAATTCCAAGGGTACAAAAGGGTGTACACCCTGTCCCCAGGCCTCCCAGGCCATCTCCAGGGATGCCACCTGATCATTCTCAGGTCTGTCCTTGCAGAGATGGCCTTGGCTTGTCCTAATATACATGACAGGCGTACTTAGGGCCTGCCTGTTGCCCTTGGTGACCTGGTTCTTGTGTCTTTGCTGCCTCCAGCTTCAGTCCCAGCCAGGTCATTGGTCCCTAAATCCTGTCTTCTCCAGTAACTATCTCCATGTTCAGTGACGTTTCTGGGGACCTTGGGGTGGGGGGACGTCAGCTGCACTTTCATATGACTATTATTGTAATTGTTACAACGTTATGCCCAGAATAGGGTCTGAGCCGATAGTAGGTACTGAATAAATAACTTACTGGGAGAATGAATCGTTGATGCTAACGTCACTGAATGTTTGCTGTACTCCAGTCAACTGTCCTGAACTCTTTACAGCAAACCCATAAGGTATTAATTTATGTTTCCCATTTTAAATATAAGCAAATTGAGGCAAAGAGAGGCTGAGTCACTTGTGAAGGCCACCGAGCTGGGATTCGAACCCAGGCTGCCCGGTTCTCAAGTCCATGCTTAAACCACTACACCGCATAGCTCTGGTTGATGACTGAAGGCTGAATTGCATGCAGCACCAGGGACAGGATTGGTGCCGTCATCTGGGTCCTGGTGGGAGTGGACACACCTGCCCAGAACAGGTGGTGCGGTCAGCAGGACAGGCAGGCTGAGTCAGCTTAGGCCTTTCCCTATCTGGGTCATCCTGGATGACCACCCCATCCTGGATGACCCAGATAGGGAAAGTGGCTAGGACCTTTGAACCAGAGAAGATTCCAGAGGGAGGGAGGGTGGAGGAACTGGAAGTCAAGGTTCCTAGGAGGCTTGGGGTTTCCAGGGTTCACAAGAGCAGAGCCCAAGAAGACAGAGCAGCTGGGAGTAGAGGCTCAGCAGAGCAAAGCCATGAGCTATCAACCACAGTGGCTGAGTAGGGGCCCCGGGGTGGGCCTGGCATGGTGGGAGCCACCATCAGAAGGGCCTCAGCACTGAAGCTGGCTGCCTCCGCTGACTCCACCAGGACTCCACACTGCGTGGTCAGTGTAGACAGGTAGAGCCCAGTGGGGACAGCAGGGCACCTGGCTGGAGTCAGGAAGGCAAGGCTGGTAGCTGGAGAGTGCTGGACACACACTGAGTGACAGAAACCATGCAGCACACACAGATGTGGAAAGCTTGAAGGCCTTTGACCTGTCAGACCCCTTGATGTGGGCTGTGATGTGTGAGCTGAGGCAGTCTGGCCTGCTCTCAGCACTTCCGAGGTCCTGAAGACCTGCCTAAACTGACTTTCCCTGTTTGAGGCTGTGGGCAGGGGCCCGCAGAACCCATCCCCTGTTCCTGTGGCTGACCCACCGAGGGGCCTTAGGCTGCACTCTATTCCCCCAACCCTAATGGAAGGTCTTTTGGTTTCCTAAGGGAGGAGAAACCCAGGGAACTTTTTCACAAGATTTTCCAGACACTGTTCTTGGAGCCACAAGCATCTATGGAAACCCGCCAGGGCCCTGTATGGTGGTTTAGCCCCTGGAAGTAGGCTGAAGGCATGTGTTGAGCGTTTGTGCTTCGTGCATGTGTGCGAGTTCCTGGTTCTGAAACTGCTACTTCTCTTCCATCCCCACGGGACCTCCGTGGTCAGCTTGGAAATGTGTTTTTGTTTCTGTGTGCACCAAAGCCTGGGCCAGAGGTGGAATGAGGAAGCAGCTGTGGCTTAGCTTCACACACATCTAGGAAGAAGGATCTGGCAGACCCGAAGCCACGGAGAAGCCTGCCTGGCTGCCTGCCTTCTTCTGGGCTGTCCATTGGGGCAGGGCCAGTCTGGCTTGGAAGAGAAGCCTTCAGGTGGTGGCTAGCCAAGGGTCGGTACAGAGTTGTGGAATTTATGATGCTGGAAGAAACCTTAGTCCTTGATCTGATCCATGCTCAGGAAATACATAGCTCAGCTGCTGCTGCTCTCCCAGGCAGAGCCCATGGCACTCGTCACCAGTAGATCCCTGCATTCTCTCAGCTGAGCCCTCGGCAGAACAGAGTCTAGGCAGCTGTTGTCAGTCAACTGGGGTTCCCGTTGGGAGTTCAACCTACTTGGCCTCCCAGATCTGGTTCAACCTACTGTTTGTATTGAAGAGGCTGCTGAACCTGGAGAAGGAAAGTGAATTGCCCAAAGTCACATAGTAAATAACAGAACCAGACAATGCCATTTCCTTTATATCATACCCATTCTTCTGATGGTTTTACAGCATTGCCACGTTACCACCCATCTCATAAACCCTTGTTATCTCCGTTCATCTCCACAATGGGATTCCACTATCCAAATTCAAATTAATTTCCCAAAAGCATTGTGGAGCTACAGAAAAACTGATGTTAGGTTATGTTAATACAAGTAGAGTATCTAGACTGAGAGAGGTGATGGTCACACTCCTTTCTGTGCTGCTCAGAGCACACCTGAGTATTGTTTCTATTTGGGGACTCCACATTTCAGAGGTACAAAGAAAAAAGGATACTCATTATACTCAAAAGGATAAAAGCAGTATGATAAAGAGGCACAGAACCACTCCATGTTTTATGGTCATTAGATTTTTGACAAGGCTGCCAGAACAATTCAATGGAGAAAGAATCGTCTTTCAACAAATGGTGCTGGAACAATTTGGGATATCCACATGCAAAATAATAAAGTCAGACCCTACCTCACACCATATATAAAAACTAACTCAAAATGGGACAAAGATCTAAATCTAAGAGTTGAAATGTTAGAACTTTTAGAAGAAAACAGGGATAAATTTTCATGATCTGAGACTAGGTCATGGTTTCTTAGGTATCACTAAAACCACAAACAACAGAAGAAAAACTAGACAAATTGGACTTCTTAGATTAAAACCTTTGTGTTTCAAAGGACACTCTCAAGAAAGTGGAAACGCAATCCATAGAATGGGAGGAAATATTTGCAAATCATATCTCTGATAAGGGACTTATATCCAGAATATATTAAAAATTTACAACTCAGTAATAGAAGACCCAATTCAAAAATAGGTAAAGGATCTGAATAAACATTTCTCCAGAGAAGATATACAAACGGCCAATAATGGGCCAGGCATGGTAGCTTATGCCTGTAATCCCAATACTTTGGAAAGCTGAGGCAGGAGGATTGCTTGAGTCTAGGAGTTTGAGACCAGCCTGGGCAACATAGACCCTGTTATACAAAAAATAAAAATTAGCCAGGTGTGGTGACACACCTGTGGTCCCAGCTACTTGGCAGACTGAGGTCAGTGTAGGTGGATCACTTGAGCCTAGAGGTCAAGGTTTCCATGAGCCATGATCATACCACTGCACTTCAGCCTAGGTGACAGAGCAAGACCCCATCTCAAAAAAAAAAAAAAAAAAAAAACCAGCTAAAAATGAACAGATGCTCAACATCAGTAGCCACCATAGAATTGCAAATCCAAACACAATGAGACACATAGATTGGCCATAGTCAAAAAGACAGTAACAAGTGTTGGAAAAGTGATGGAGAAATTAGAACCCTCATATGCTGCTGGTGGGAATGTAAAATGGCGTCTCCACTTTGGAAGACAGTCTGGTAGCTCCTCAAAATACTAAACACAGAATTACCATAAAATCCAGCAATTCCACACGCAGATATGTACCCAAGGGAACTGAAAACATACGTTCCACACAAACATTTGCACATGAATATTAGCAGCATTATTTGTGATGTCCCCAAGCTGGAAACTACTCACATGTTAGTCAGCTGAAGAATGGCTAAGTGAAATGTGGTGTTTCCATAAGGTGGAATGTTACTTGGTGATAAAAAGAAATGAAACATTGATATAGAAGTACCGATCAATTCCACTAGCTGCTAGTACATGGATGAACCTTGAACACGTGATGCCAAGTGAAAGCCAGACACAAAAGGCCACATAGGGTATGACTCCATTTATAGGAAATGTCCGGAATAAGCAAGTCTACAAAGACTGAAAGATTAGTGGTTGCCTCAGGCTAGAGGGAAGGGGTCAGGGGTGAGGAGGAGTGACTGCTCATAAGTAAGGGATTTCTTTGTGGGGTGATGAATATGTACTAAAATTGATTGTGGGGTGGTTGCACAACTCTGTGACTATGTTAAAAACCACTGAATTGGTTACTTTAAATGCCGTTAAGAAACAAAGTACTCTATCTGGAAATTCTTGGAGACACCCAACTTAGTGTGAACCACAGCTGACAAACCTTCCCTCTAGGGTGGTAGATGCACAAGCCATCTTCCCATAGTTTAGAGGCTTTATGGGGAGCAGGGGGAGTTGTCCTCATGGCCCGGTAAAATGTAGAAAAAGCAATAAGAGGAAACATTTCAGGGGAACAGATGAAATCTCAGATAGAATTTGAGAATTACTTCGCAGAATGGGTTGCCCAGTGAGGTAGCTAGCTCATGAGATTAAAGGTCTTCAAACAGATACAGCTGCGGCTTGCTAGGGATGGTAGAGAGGGAACCAAAGGAGTAGGCTCTCAAAAGCCTATTGTTAACTAACCAGAAATCTTGCTAGCTAGGTGTAAACCTTTGGAGAGCTTGACCTCAGCAATGATGGGAGTGTTTACGCCCTGGAAACTGGCAATTGCTTCACATCATGGCTTTTGCTTTTTTTTTAAATCTTGGCTCACTGCAACCTCCTGGGTTCAAGTGATTTTCCTGCCTCAGCCTCTCAAGTAGCTGGGATTACAGGCGCCCGCCACCATGCCTAATTTTTTAATTTTTAGTAGAGATGGGGTTTCACTATGTTGGCCAGGCTGGGAGGCTTTTGCTTTTTATTTACTTATTCACTGTCCTAGACAGGTGTTTTATTGGAACACCTCTGATTTATGCTCCAAGAGGTATCTCTGTGTGCTCACCTGCCTTCAAATATTCCCAGATCCACCTCCCAGCCCAGTGGGAATTCCTTCCCTGCTCTGTTCCATGCCTCTATCAACCCTAGCATCCTCCATAAACTGTTCCTGAACCACCTCCCTTCCCCCTCCACCCCATCTCATTTGGTAATTACCACTTGCTAAGTAAGAGTCAGCTGTGGGCTGGGTTCTTTAGTTACACTGTCCCATTTAGTTCCTATCCTTGGGGTGGGTGGCAGAGTCTCCCTGCTTTACACAAGAGGACACTGAGGCTCAAAGAGGTGAGGCGCTCACGAGGATCACAGGTCCTGCCCAGCCTGAAGCCTGTATCTGTTTATTACACCATGGAATGAGGAGTGAGGAGTTCTCCCAGCCCCAATTGCCTGAAGCCCACATTGCGCTCTTCCCTCTTACGTCTCTCCCGGAACTGGGACATTCAGGGTAAGGTGTCCTCTGGCATCAGCTGTTCTTTGGCCCCAGTGACTTTCTCTGGCTTCTGCTCTGGTGGCTTTGTGACAGCTGCCAGAGGGGGGTCCCAAAAAGTCCGCTGGGGCTGATTCTTTGGATGGCCAGTTGAATCTATTCCTGAGGCTAGACTCATTTTGATGACCTTCCAACATGGGGCTCTCAGGCTTCTGAACTAACTTTAAAATGCCAAGAAAAAAGCAGCTGATGGTCATGGGGACATGGCACTGGCAGAAGGAACAGGCCTAGGTGCCTTGGGCTCTGCTCCACTCCACATTTCCTGGACTTGGGTATGCTCTGGGACCCCGGGGTAGGTATGTGTGTATGCATGTGAGCTTTTTTTGTTTGTTTGTTTTTGAATTAAATATCAGTGTAGAGAAGTCTAGAGAAAAACTTTGCAAGGCCTTAGCACCCATAATTCAGCTTTGTTAATTCCTATCACTTTGCCATGTTTGTTTCAGATCTTCTGGTTCGGTTTGATAAATAAATGGTTGCAGAACTAGTTGGAACCTCCTTTGTACCCCTCCCTGATCCTATCTTTTTCCTCAGCCCAAGGGCAGACATCTTGCTGAATTTGGTGTGTGCATGTCTCCTATATCCACAAACAGGATATAGGACTGTGGTGCGGGTTTTTATATACTTTATATAAATGTTTTCATTCCTTCTGTAATTTGCTTATTTCATTCAACATTAAGGTTGATTTTTTGGTTTGTTTTTGTTTGATTGCTTTTAAAACTTTTTCTTTTAACTTTTTGTTTTGACATGATTTCAGACTTCCAGAAAAGTTACGGAATAGTCCAGTGAATTCTTGCTTGTATACTCCTTTCACCAGATTCACTCATTGTGAACATTTTGTCACATTTCCTTGTTTATTTTTTTCTTTTCTTTCTTTCTTTCTTTTTTTTTTTTTTCTTTTTTGAAATGGGGTCTCACTCTGTCACCCAGGCTGGAGTGCAGTGGCACGATCACTGCTCACTGCAGCCTTGATCTCCCCGGGCTCAGGTGGTCCTCCCACCTTAGCCTCCCAAGTAGGTGGGACAATAGGCTCGCACTACCAAGCCTGGCTTCTAATTCTTTTCTAAATGATTTTGAGAGTAAGTTGCAGACATTTTATCTCTTTACCCCACATACTTAAGTGGATATTTCTCAAAGACAAGGACCAAAATCAGGAAATTAATATTCATTCAATAAACAGAATTTAGAGATTTAACCATCTGTGTAGCATTGAGTCCGACCCCCTCTTTCCTTCCCCTTCTTTTCTTCAAGACATATTCTCACTCTGTCGCCCAAGCCCGAGTGCAGTGGCACGATCTCGGCTCACTGCAACCTCTGCTTCCCCAGTTCAAGCGATTCTCCTGCCTCTCCTACTCTCCTGAGTAGCTGGGACTATAGGCCTGTACCACCACACCTGGCTTCTAGTTTTTTTCTAAATGATTTGAGAGTAAGTTGCAGACATTTTATCTCTTTACACCACATACCTCAGTGGGTATTTCTCAAAGACAAGAACCAAAATCAGGAAATTAACATTTATGCAATAAACAGAATTTTGAGATTTAACCATCTGTGTTGCATTGATTCCGGCCCTTTTCTCTCTCTCTCTCTCTCTCTTTCTTTTTCTTTGTTTTGTTTTGTTTTTTTGAGACATAGTCACACTCTGTCACCCAGGCTGAAGTGCAGTGGCACAATCTTGGCTCACTGCAACCTCTGCTTCCCAGGTTCGAGCAATTCTCCTGCCTCAGCCACCTGAGTAGCTTGGACTACAGGCACCCACCACCACACCTGGCTAAGTTTTGTATTTTTAGTAGAGACTAAAGTTTCACCAGGTTGGCCAGGCTGGTCTCAAACTCCTGACCTCAAATGATCCACCCATCTTGGCCTCCCAAAGTGCTGGGATCACAGGCAGGAGCCACTGCACCCGGCCCCTGGCCATTTATTTTATTGATAAATAGTAGGTGTAAATATTTTTGGGGTACATGTGATCTTCTGATACGTAATATAATGTGTTACAATCAAATCAGGAGAATTGAGATATCCATCACCTTAAATGTTTATCTTTTCTTTATGCTGGGAACATTTAAATTATTCTTGTTGTTTTGCTATATACAATAGGTTAATGTCTACTGTAGCCACTCCACTGATTTATTGAGTTTCCTGCCTTTTAACAGCTATGTGATTATCCGGGATGGACTGAGTCACGTTTTGTTTATCCATTCTCTTATGGTGGCCATTGGCTTTCTCCACTTTCTCTTTGTTGTAAATGCTGCAGCTGCGGCTATCTGTAAACACGGGTGTCCAGGGAGTGGGGCTGCTGGAATGTGGCCTCCGGCATTTCTTTTAAGTGTTGACAGGTCCTCATCATAGTTGGCGCAACTTTTTATTCTCGGGGGAGCTTTGCTCCTCCCCAGCCTCAGATCATCCCTCCTGAGGAGCAAGTGAGGAGCAGTTGGGGTAAGCAGGGCGTTTTGGAGAATGAGAAGATGTGCCTGGTAGACTAGGTTGGCAGGGTCCCCAAAGCAATCGGTGTCCCTGGGAGAGAGGGCATGACCCTATGTGTGGTTGCTACATCCAGAAAAATGTGACCTATTAGAGGCGTTATTATGGGCCAGGTATTACCAGCTCCATTGTACAGATAAGAAAACTGTTGGCCAGGCAAGGTGATTCAAGCCTGTCATCCCAGCACTTTGAGAGGCTGAGGAGGGCAGATTACGAGGTCCCTCCTGGCCAACATGGTGAAACCCTGTCTCTACTAAAAATACAAAAATTAGCTGGGCATGGTGCCGTGTGCCTGTAGTCCCAGCTACTCAGGAGGCCGAGGCAGAAGAATCGCTTGATCCTGGGAGGTAGAGGTTACAGTGAGCCGAGATGGCACCACTGTACTCCAGCCTGGTGACAAAGCAAGACTCCATCTCAAAAGAAAAACCTGTTCATTTAAGATAATTTTTATTTATTTTATTATTATTACTGTTGAGACAGGGTCCTGCACTGTCACCCAGGCTGGAGTGCATTAGTGTGAACACAGCTTACTGCAACCTCAACCTCCTGCCTCAGCCTTCTGAGTAGCTGGGACCACAGGTACACACGTAGGTGCCCAGCTGATTATTTTGATTTTTTGTAGAGGTAGTGTCTTACCATTTTGCCCAGGCTGGTTTCAAACTCCTCAACTGTAGTTGTCCTCCCACCTCAGCCTCCCAAAGTGCTGGGATTACAGGCATGAGTCACTGTGCCTGGCCTATTTAAGATGCTTTTTTCTTCTTTCTTGAGAGTCTCACTCTGTCACCCAGGGTAGAGTGTAGTGGTGGGATCTCAGCTCACTGCAGCCTCTGCCTTCCTGGTTCAAGTGATTCTCCTGCCTCATCCTTCCAAGTAGCTGGGATTATAGGCATGTGTTGCCATGCCCAGCCAATTTTTGTATTTTTAGTAGAGATGGGGTTTTACCATATTGGCCAGGCTGGTTTCAAACTCCTGACCTAGGTGATCTGCCTGCCTCAGCCTTCCAAAGTACTGGGATTACAGGCGTGAGCCACCATGCCTGGCCTATTTAGATGATTTTAAATCATGTTAGTGACGCATAATTATTATAAAACTTTGAAACAAACCACCTTCATTTCTCTAAAATAACTCGATATCTTACATAGCCTTCTGGAAAGTATTTCTACTGTGTGTGTTTGTATGTATTCCCAAGTGGAATAATGAACATTATTGAACACCCTTTCTTTACCAGGTACTGCAAGGATATGTAAACATTAATTTTTTTTTTTTTTTTTTAACTTTCAAGAGCTAGAAGAGTAGAGTGGTTAGAAGCATAGACTCTGGAGCCAGAATGCCAGGGTTCGAATCCCAGTTCTGCCACGCATTGGCTGTGTGACCTTGGGTGAATTATTTAACCTCTCTGTGCCTCTGTGTCTCCATCTTTACATGGCAGCACTAGGTGTAGCATAGGTATATTCGGTTCCTAGGGCTGCAGTAGCAAGTTACCACTAGCTTTGCAGCTCAGAGCAGCAGACATTTATTTTCTCATGGTTCTGAAGGCCAGAAATCCAAATCCAAGGTGCCAGCTGGGCAGTTTGCATCTGGAGAGTCTAAGGGAGAGTCTGCCCGTGCCTCTCTCCCAGCTCCTGCTGGTTGCCGTCCACCTCTGGCACTGCTTGGCTTGGGGCATCACAACTCCAGTCTCTGCCTCTACCTTCGCACGGACCTCATCTGTGTCTCTGTGTCTTTCCTTCTTATAGGGATACTTCTCATTGGATTTAGGACCCACTTTAAATTTAGGTTGATCTCATCTCAGTAGCCCTAAATTATATCTGCAAAGATCCTTTTTTCCAAATAAGGCCACATGTACAAGAACTGGGGTTAGGATTTGGACATACCTTCTTGGGAGACACAAATCAACCTCCGATGTTGAATCAGGCAGGTGTGAGGATGACTGAAAACCGGCTCTGGGGGCCCACAGTGGGCACGGTGTGGTGTACTATGAATTCATGACACAGGCAGGTTGCTGTCCTGGCTGGTGTCCCCAGGGCCCCTGCACTTCCTCTGTGTACTCATGATGCTTTGTCCTGTGGGACCAGGCCATCCTGTCCCATTTATCACCAGAGTCACACTGGCTTCTACTGGCCGGAGAGCCCTCTAAGGCCAGGGACCAGGCCTTTCCATTCCTGTAGACCCCTTTTGCCTGGCTGAAGCTGGAAGGTCACCCTGCCTTGGGTCAGGATGGTAGGTGGGGTAGGGACGGCCTTTTTGGTCCTCCCCTTTTGTCACACACGCTCCCCCACCCCTGGTGTGTTCTGGCCAAGTCTATACAAGAAGTGAGGCCACACTGGAACTCTCCAAGCTGCTTCCCTCGGGCTGACATAAGCTGGCACCCTGTGGAGCTGGGAGACTTCTGTGTCTTCCCTCCACTCCTAACAGGCAGCATCCAGCTAGGGCCCCACATCCCAAGCTGCCATCCTCACCGCTCCGTCCCCACACTTGGTCAGCCCCTTGGGCCAGCTCTCCACCCTGAAGCCGAGCTTCCCACTTCTACCCCCAGGCTGAATAGGCCTGAATGCAGGCACAGGCACCATGCCCAGGAGCTGTGCACACTCCAGGCCAATTCCCACCCTCCTTTAGGGAGCTGATGAGAAAATCCTTGTAGAAGCTGAGAGACTGAGTCCTGCAGCTGAGGGGCTGGGTTTTCTGGGGTGTCTGCTGGCACTGCGTCGGGCAGAACAGTCTGGGTGGGTATCCAGTGGCAGCCGTAGGACCAGAAGCCTGTGGCCCTGCTGCTCTGAGCTCATTACTCTATTCCATAAGAGTGGGGGAACAATATGTCATGGAGCAATTTCTGTGTCTGGTGGAGCCGCTCCAAAGCTTCCAAGGCTCTAACAGCAAGTGCCTTTCATTATCCAAGGTCCCGGTTCTGCCTTTGCAGGGTCCTTGGTGGAACTGGAGTTCAGCTGGTGAGAGGGAGGGTGTGGGTGTTGGAGTGGCCGGCTCTGCCAACAGATGGCTGATTGGATGCCGGGTGGGCTTAGTGACAGTTCCTGGCCGCTGGGGCTGCTGTGGCCAGGCCAGTTGATGAGAGTCATCACAGGTCTAAAACAAAGCCTGCGTGTTACCTGCTCTGGGCACTTCCGTCTTTGCCATCCTGCTCCAAGTGCCATCCTTGGCACAGACATTTTGCAATCGGAAGTGGACACCCAGGAACTCGGGTGACCTATGGCAGCTGTCTGGTTCTGTCACCCTTCTTTGGCCTGGACAGAGAAGATGCCATGTCACTTTGTCCCTTAAGGGCCCTGTTACTCCAGGGACACGGTTCAAGGTCCAGACTTCCCTAACTCCAGCTGTTCCTTCTCTAACTTCTAGGCATTGCTGGAAGCCAAGGGGCTGCAGCCTTTGACCCCTCTCTTACAGATTCTTCTCAACCCTGAGATCCTTGCATCTGCCTATGAGCAGGTCTCTGGGAGGCCTGAGCAGGTCTCTGGGAGGGCCCTTGTTCCAGCCACAGGGACCACCCAGAGGGAAGGGAGAGCATCGCAAGGGTTGGGTGGTGTGTGGAAAGCAGAGGCTTAGGGGCCTGTGTCCTCTCTGGTGTTTGAGTCTGAGCCTCCAGGCTGGCCCCTTCAGCACTCAGTGCTCTGAGGTGTCTGAGACGATCCTGGGCCTTATTGTCTTTTCACAGGGTGGGAAAGGGATCCTCCCAGTGGTTTGTTTCTGTGTCCATGCCAAGCCATGCCACGTGGTTCCCAGGCACTTGAAATTGTGGGTTACCCTGGGGCCAGATGTTGGGCACAAGAAAAGCAACACACAGATGTGGGCCGCAGTCACGTCAATCAAATGTGCTGAGTCCTAAAATCAAGGCTTTAAAGTGAGAGAACGGTAGTAGAAAGAGGAAGAGACGTGTTTATAACTAAGGGGTTAAAAGGATGGAAAACCGTGCCATTTACTGAATGGCGTGTCAGGCACCATGCAAGTAGTTGACAACTCATGACATTTCCCCAGTAACCCTCTTACATAAAGACAGCTATGATGTTTTTACTTATTTTTATTTTTGTTTATTTATTTAGTTATTTATTTTTTGGAGACAGGGTCTTATTTCGTTGCCCAGGCTGGAATGCAGTGAGGTGATCTCAGCTCACTGTAGCTTCCACCTCCAGGCTCCAGCAATCTTCCTACCTTAGCCTCCTGAGTAGCTGGGACTACCTGCTCACACCTGGCTAATTTTTAAAAAAGTTTTGTAGAGATGAGGTCTCACTATATTTTCCAGGTCTGACCTCAAGTTCCTGGGCTCAAATAACCTTCCTGCCTTAGCCTTAATCCCAAAATGTTTGGCTTACAGGCATGAGCCACAGCGCCCAGCAAATTATGTCTTTTACGGTAGTTAAGCTGAAACCTGGAGAGGTAAAGTATTAATAACTGGCCAGAGGTCACACAGCCTGCATTCAAACCCAAGGCAAGCAGGCAGGCCTCATCTGAAGGGGCTGTAAGGATGGGAAGAACTGTTTTCCCGATAGTTCACCATTAAAAATATACAACATACAGAAGATTTGAAAGAACTTTGCAGTAAACACCCACACACCCACCAGTAGCCCTCAGTGGTTTTCTCTATTTGTTTCATTACATATCTCTACCCATCCATGAATGCATCTTACTTTTTAATGTATTTCATAAAAAGTTGCAGACCGCCCCTGAAGGTCAGCATGAGTAACTAGAGTTAACCAGAGTTCAGTATTTAGTTAGTTATGATTATCTTTTATTGTTTTGGTGTAAAATTTGCATGTGACAAAAGTAAATGCACACATCTAAGTGTACTCTTTGAACTTCATGTAAGTGGATTCGTGCCATGTGTACTTCTTTGCATTTGGCTTCTTTGACTCAGCATAATGCTTCTGAGATTCATTCATGTGGTCGTGTGTATGGGTAATTCCTTTTTATTGCTGACTACTGGCCCGCTGTGTGGACATGCCACCGTTTGTTTATCTATTCTACCACTGATGGACACTGGAACCCGGTGGTATTGAGCTATTAGGAGGAGAGCTGCTGTGATCATTTGTGTGCGAGTCTTTCTGGACTAGTATACTTGCATTTATCTTGGGTATACATGTAGGGGCGGAATTGCTGGGACATAGGATAGGTGTATGTTTAGGTTTATTAAAAAGTGCCATATCGGCCGGGCGCCGTGGCTCACGCCTATAATCCCAGCACTTTGGGAGGCCGAGGCGGGTGGATCATGAGGTCAAGAGATTGAGACCATCCTGGTCAACAAGGTGAAACCCTGTCTCTACTAAAAATACAAAAATTAGCTGGGTACGGTGGTGCGCGCCTGTAGTCCCAGCTACTCGGGAAGCTGAGGCAGGAGAATTGCTTGAACCCAGAAGGCGGAGGTTGCGGTGAGCCGAGATTGCGCCATTGCACTCCAGTCTGGGTAACAACCGTGAAACTCCATCTCAAAATAAATAAATAAATAAAAATAAAATAAAGTGCCATATCTTTGTCTAAAGTGGTTTTACCAATGTACGTTCTCCCCAAAAGTGCCCTGGCATTCTGATCACTTCCCATCCTCACCACCATGTGATGCTGTCAGTTGTTTTAATTTTAGCCGTTCTGGTGGTTGTACCGTGGTATCGCATTGTGGTTTTAATTTGCATTTCACCTAATGACTAATGACTTTGAGCGCTTTTTCACCTACTGGTTGTTGGTTTGTATGTCTTCTTCTTGGAAGTACCTGTTCAAATCTCTTGCCCGTTTTAAACATTGATTTGCTTGCTCTCTGTTGGATATATGTTTTGTAATTTTTTTCCCCCAGCCTGATGGGCAGAAGTTGTAAATTGTGATGCAGTCTAACTTAATCTGGTTTTTCGTTTATGATCATTGCTTTCTGTGTCTGGGCTAATATATTTGCCTACCAGGTGGAAATAATCTTGGGAGAAGAAATAGACCCTGAAGGAGGAGGTAGACAGACCAGCATGGGCACTGGCTCTGGATGGAGAAGTGTGGGTTCTGTTGGGTGATGGAGAGCAGCCCTTTGTAAGGGGTGTCTGGGGTTGAGGGGCAGAGGCCCAGAAAGGGAATGCCTTCAACATTAGGGGACTGACTGAATTCTTTAGCCAGTGGAATCCATTGAAAGTTTTAGAGTAGGAAGGGATGTGATCACAAGACAGGGAGATGTACAGGCCTCTTGATGCTAGAGCCTGGGGCAGTTTTCACTCAGTCACCCTGAGGGCAGCAGCCTCAGGCCTCAAGATGCAGGGCTGGGAACCAGGTTTATCTCTGTGAATTCTAGCAGCCTGTCCTGAGCCCTGAGACCACCCAGGTCTCCCCAGATCTTCATGGAGATAAATAATCTCCATTTATTCTTGCAAAGGAAGCCTGAGTGCTGGTCTAGCCGTGTAGCTAGCTGGCAGCCCAGCCTCTCCTCCCAAGCCTGGGAATGCTTGTACATGTGGATTTAGGGCCACCTCTCCCTGTGGCTCCAGATGCTCATGGGGCCCTCTCCCATCCCCTCTGCCCTCACCTCCGCCCACTCTCACCCTTCTCTCACTCTCTCCTTGCACTTGTTCTGGGAGCAGGAACTGGAGGGTTGGGAGTCTGCTTTTCCTTCTGCCTGGAAATCTCTTCCCCAGATACCTGCATCCAGGCATATCATCCACAGTCACCTTTTTCAGGCGTCTTCCCTGGTCATCCAGTTTGGAATTGTCCCCATTCCCGGACCCTTTCCTCTTCCTCTGTGGTGGTATTACCATCCGACATCCTCTAGTCACACATTTGCCTTGTTTATTGCCTGTCTTCTCCCCTAGAATGTAAATACCATGAAAGGTTTATTATTTTTTACTCTTATTCACTGCTCTAACTGTGCCTGGAACAACATCTGACATTGGCAGGTCCACAGAAACAGCACAGCCCAACTGAATGAGAGGCCCACTCCCTCATTATTCCCAGAACCTCTGTGTTTGATGGCAGCTTTGGTTCTGCAGATGAAAGAAAATGGGGATGAGCCCAGGGCACACCTAGGGCCACCCAGCAAATGGGGGAATCTTCCTTCTCCCCGTCCCCATTGTACAGATGAGGAAACAGACCTGGAGAGGGAAAGGACTTGGCCAAGTGCTAAACCATATTCACGGCAGAGAAGAAATGGAAGTCGATTGCCCTCGCTCCCTATTATTAAAAGTCCCAATTGGCCTGGGGGAAGCTGGGGGCCAAGCAGGGATGTTTAAGGATGATTATAATATCTTTTGGTGCCAGAAGATATCTTTGTGTCTCCAAGTGGGGTTGGAGGAACTGCAGCCCAAGTGTTTTCTTTTCTGGGAAACTCAGACCTCCATCATTTTAACTTTTCCCAGATGAGATGCTGGGACCACACTCAGGGCCTGAGAAGTGGTTACATCCATATCAGCCAGGCCACCCTGGCCTTGAGCTCCAAATGAGACCATTCAGCCTCAGTTCCACAGCCATGGACTTCCACAGAGCCATCCTGCCCTGGTCCTACCAGCCCCAGGATTCTTGCCATTTCCCAGGACACTCATGTTTTCCTGGTGACCTGGCTCCTTCTACTGTGTAGGCTGCAGGCTGTGGACCGGGAGGGGAAATCCATAGGCAGCCGGGAGCACACATAGCATTCGTGAGAGTCAGGGCCCCCCAGAGGATGTGGGAGGGAACTTTATCCCAGGGTGCAGACAACTTAACACTGACCCTCACACCCCCTTCTTCATGACAGGCAGTCCCAGTCAGTTCTCTCAGAAACCCACTGCTCAAAACACACAACACTGCTGGGCCTGTTTAATCCAGCGCTGCCCGACCCCTCCACCACCGTGGGACCCCCGGTACCCCTCAGCCCCGCCCTCAGGCGGTTCCACTTTCCTGTGCCTTTTTACAGAGCTTACCTAGGCCTTGTCCATCTGCCCCGAGAGGCTCCTTAAAGCACATGCCCTGGATGCTTCTGGAACCAACACCAGCCTTGATCCCTGGCATCCCTGGGCAGCATCACAGAGACACAGGGCAAGATGGAAGGCAACACCCACAGCTTCATAGCTTCCTGAGACCCTCCTCTGTCTGATGAAGGTTTTCACTCCTGCAGATACCATAAGAAACTTGATGCCTTAGTAGGAGGCAGGAAGACCTTACAGCCCACATGACTCAGGATGTGAGGCTCCGAGATGTTCCTCCTTTTCGGGAATCAAAACCAGCCTGTGTGTGTTGGGACGGGGAAGACAAATGTGAGGGTCTTGCGGGGAGGGTCTGGGATCTCTTAAACCAGACAGAACTATGAACAGTAGGCAGTGCCATTTCCCAGCAAACTCCTCAGCTTGATGTTGCTGTTTCCTGGGTCTGTGATCCTCCTCCCCATACCGTGCTGTGTTGACACATCCTCATCCTGGGGCTCAGACACTGTTGACTGGGAAAGGGTAAGAAGGAACTTTTTAGAACTGTCCTATTCCAGCACCATTGAGTGGAAATCTATTGTAAGCCACATATGTCGTTTTAAATGTTGTAGCAGCCATATTAAAACAGGCAAAGTAATTTTAATAATGTTTTATTTAATATGACACATTTGAAACATTATCTTGCCAGGCGCGATGGCTCATGCCTATAATCCCAGCACTCTGGGAGGCCGAGGGAGATGGGTCACTTGAGGTCAGGAGTTCGAGATCATTCTGGCCAACATGGTGAAACCCCATCTCTACTAAAAAAAATATGAAAATTAGCCGACTGTGGTGGTGCACACTTCTAATCCCAGCTACTCGGGAGGCTGAAGCAGGAGAATCGCTTGAAGCCAGGAGTCTTTGGAATGAAATCCTATGTATGTTTTGTGCTTACAGCACATATCAATTCAGACAAGCCACTTTTAAGAGCCCAATACCCACTTTTGTCTAGTGGCTACGGCAGTGCAGATCTTTCTCTCTTGACCTGGGCGGTAGTTACTCAGGTGTAGATATATGTAAAAATGTGGCTAGCTGTAGACTCAAGACGTGTGCATTTCACTGTGTGTGTTACTCTTTAAAAGTTTTAAAAACTCTTCTTCAAGGCTCTGCTCACATGCCATCCATTTTCCTGAACCCACCCTGGGATGCAATTAGCTGCTGCTTTTGCACTGTGCTTCTGTTGTATTTCTACTTGTACTGTAGCTGTGTCTCGCCTGTTTTCCTATAAGCGCCCTAAGATGAAGACCATGGTTTGGTGTTTTTTTTAATTACCCACAGGGGCACTGACTACCTAATGCCGAACAAGTAAGCATGGCTGAATGGAATCCCTAAGTGTTGTTAACCCTCTCTGGGCTGGCTGCAGGATGGCTGATCATTTGATTCTCTTTTTCAGTCCCATTCCAGTTGTTGGCAAAGGAGAGGAAGAGGAAGAGGAAGATGGCATGGGGCTTTGTCTGCCGGCCACCCTAAAGAACTGCCTTCCTCACCGCCGGGGCATCAGCATCCTGGAGAAGCTCATCAAAACATGCCCAGTGTGGCTGCAGCTGAGTCTGGGCCAGGCAGAGGTGGCCAGGATCCTGCACCGGGAGGCAGCCGGGGTGAGTGGGGGCACTTGCCACTTGGTAGCATGCACACCATGAGGGACTCAGGCATGCTCCATACCCACCCTGACTCCCACATGGAAGCAGCTACCATGCAGATGGCTACCTATATGTTTCCCTTTCTTACATGTGTCAATTTTTCGGCCATGATATTTTTCCAGAATGCAGGCATGGGAGGCTGCTGGGAGGCCTGCTTTTTGCTCTGGCGAGCAGGTGTTCATGGCTGGAGAGGAGGGAGTGGGTGGCTTACAGGCTCTCTGGGCATTTGGGCACCTGAGAGGCGGGACTGATGGGTCAGGAGGACCATGCTGGCCTGCTCTGACTTCAAGAGTTCAGCCAGGCATCCAGGGTCTAGAGAATGTCAATCAGAGCCAAGGTAAAAATGGCTTTGTGCTCCCTGTTTTGCATATGCAAGTAAGGGCTGCATGATGGAGTCAAAAGATGATTTGGAGGTCAGGTTCTGTGAGTGGACATGTGGCTTAAATTTTCTAAGCCTGTCTTTTGTTGCTTTGAAATAGAGAAATTCACAGCGCCTCCAAGGCTCTTGTTCCTGTTGCATGGGAAGATAGATGATGGATGGATGGATGGATGGATGGACGGACGGACGGATGGACGGACGGATGGGCAGGTGGACAGACAGATGGACGGACGTCAGACAGATGGACAGATAGATGGATGGGTGTATGAACAGACAGACAGACAACAGATAAGCAGGTGATAGATGATGAAATATGAGTCAGAGCTCATCATATATTCCTTTTACCACCCACACACATTTTCTCCTATACACTGCTTCCTTTTAAAAACAACTTGAATTTGTTTAATTACCAAAGTGATACACATATGTGTTCATTACTTAACAAAAAGCCAAGCTGGACAGAAGTGTAAAAAGTGAAGGTCTTTTCCACCTACTCTAACCAAACTCAATCCCCAGAAGCTTTTTCTTTTTTTAATTGAGATGAAATTCACACAATATAAAATTTAATTGAGATGAAATTCACACAATATAAAAGTACACAGTTCAGTGGCATATAGTACAGACACAATGTGGTACAACCACCACCTCTATCTAGTCCCAAAGCATCTCATCGCTCAAAACAAAGCCCATCACTCCTTAAGCAGTCCCTCCCCCTCCTCCCCTCCTGCAGCCCTGTAACACCAATCTGCCTCCAAAGTCACCTTGCATGCGGTGCGTCTGTCCGAACATTTTCCGTATAGACTCACGCCTCTATTGTGGCTAGCATTCACTGAGTACTTGCTTTGCTCCAGGAATTCTTGTAGGTTCTTCATGTGAATCTGCCCATGTAACCTCATAGCAGCCCTAGGGGGTAGGCATTGCCACTCTGCCCATTTTACAGATGAGGTAACCGTGATACAAAGAAGTTGAGTGCCGTCCCCCAGGGGACATAGTGAATAAATGGCAAAGTGGGAATCCATCTGGTCCCAGGCAGTCTGGGTGCCCTGTGCTATGTTGAGCACAGATTTATTTGGCTCAGCTGGACTTGTGTCCTCCAGCCACCGTGCACTTTTGATGGTCTCTCCCCTGCTGTGCTTGCAGGGCTGTCTGCCTCCCGGGAAGAGTCCAGATGTATAAGTACAGGGCTCAGAAAGCAAGTGGACTCGTTCACCTCGGACTAGGGAAAATGCATCAAGTCTCCAGTTGTACCTGCAAACTGGAATTACTGGAACTGATGGGGTCTTCTGCAAAGTCCCAAGCTCCTTTTGCCACACAGGCCCCTGTCACAGGGAGTGGACTGTGGTGGCCTGAAAGCACAGTAGAGTCCCGCCAAGACCAGGAAGACTGCTGGCCTGGAAAGACCTGGGTAGAAAATTAAACCAGGGTCTTCTGCCAATGAGTGTTCAGCCAGTACCCGCTCTGGTCCCCAGCTCCCCTGGTGGGTTCTCAGGAATGAACTTACCACTCTTGCTGGGAGGAGGCAGCTCAAGACCAGCCCAAGGGGCAAGTTTCTGATGCTGAGGGATGGCCATGTTCCAGATTTTTTTGGTCATCAACAGGGGCATGTCCAGATGCGGATTGGCCAGATGGTGAGGGATGGTCCCAGGAGAAGGTGCTGGCTCTCCAGAGCAAGCTGGGCAGGACATCGTCATGATTGCTATGTAAAAAGATTCAGTCCTCTCTTCAGAAAGTTAGCCTGGGCGCGGTGGCTCATGCCTGTAATCCCGGCACTTTGGGAGGCCCCAGTTGGAGGACCCCTTGAGCCCAGGAGTTCAAGACCAGCCTGGGCAACATGGCGAGACGCCATCTCTACAAAATATACAAAAATTAGCCAGGCATGGTGGCACACACCTGTAATCCCAGCTACTCAGGAGACTGAGGTAGGAGAATCACTTGAACTGGGGAGGCGGAGGTTGCAGTGAGCCCAGATCACGCCACTGCACTCCAGCCCAATTGACAGAGTGAGAATCTGTCAAAAAAAAAAAAAAAAATTAAAATAAGCACAACTAAAAATAACTGTAGTGGTTCTGGTTGGAGAATGCTGAGTTATTCCAGCCTCTGTGCTTTGGAGATATCATTTTGTAGTCATTTTGTGAGGTCAGTTCTGCCATTATACCCATTTCACAGATAATGAAACTGAGGCTAAGAGAAATGCTTCAGTTTGGGTTTCCCCAGAATCATATCCCTGAGACAAGAATTTGAGCACAAGTGGCTTATTTGGGAAGTAACCCCAGGAAGCACCAGTAGGGGAACCAAGGGGAAGGGACTGTAAAAGGTACATTGTCATGCGAGTTACCCCTGGGGGATACTGGAGCTGATCCCTGCTGGAGAACTCTGGGAGCCACTGTGGAACACATATCTTGGGGTTATCCCACCCAAGGGGCGAGGGAACTGTGAATTATTCACCGACTCCTGATAGTCGTGGGTCAAAGGCTGTGGGGTGTGAGGATGCATTTTCTAGCCCCTTCTCTCTCCCTTTTTTAGTCTTTCCTTCTTTTCTTTCTTTCCTTTCTTTTCTTTCATTATTTCTTGACAGAGTCTTGCTCTGTTGCCCAGGCTGGAGTGCAATGACACAGTCTCGGCTCACTGCAACCTTCACTTCCTGGGTTCCAGTGATTCTCTTGTTTTAGCCTCCTGAGTAGCTGGGACTACAAGTATGCACCACCACACCTGACTAATTTTTGTATTTTTAGTAGAGACAGGGTTTCACCATGTTGACCAGGCTGGTCTTGAATTCCTGACCTCAGGTGATCTGCCCGCCTTGGCCTCCCAAAGTGCTGGGATTACAGGCATGAGCCACTGCACCCAGCCCCCTTCTCTCTTCCTTGACTGTAAGATCTGACTCTTGCCAGAAATCCTTGGGTGAAGAGACACAGAGCTGGCCGGTGGAAGCAGGGCTGGAGTCCGCTAAAAAGATAAGGCCCTGTGGGGATGGGTGGGTCACGAGCTGCACCTAGTACTAGAGTGGGGTAACTTTCCCAAAGGTCACACATCTAGTGAGGTTCAGAGCTGAGGTTTGAACCCAGGCCTGGTGAGGCTCAAGCCCATCCCTCCAGAAGTGAGTAGCAGGAGAGACATAAAAGTACTTTTCTGAAGTCAATCAGTGCTGGATGGGGTTGGATATCAGCCAGGTTTATAAAGATGGGTAAGATGCAGTCTTACCACTGTCCTCTTCAAGGGTCTGGTGGGGGCTCCATGCACAAATATGAACCTAAAGGCACTGGGAGGAGATAGCTAAGTGCTCTGTGAAAGGCAGGGCAGTGAGTTACCTGGAACAGGAAGAAAGCACATCCAGGTGGGGTGATCTGGGCAGACTTCCTGGAGGAGGTAGACACCAAGCTGGGCCATGTAGAATGGATGGGCAGGATGGGATGGGGGAGCTGACAGAGTCTGCTGGGAAGTAGTGGGTGATGGAACAGCAGAAGCCAAGGCCTAGAGGTGGATGTGAGCCTGCCTGGGGCCCTTGGGGTTGAAAGAGAGTGGCGGAATTAGAGCCCACTGGGACCCTGGCAAGCAGGACCACCTTGCATTCATCTACCTGGAACGCCATTGACTGATTCAGGTCTCGGAGCACAGAGTGAGCCTGGCTCTGATTGTTCACTGGAACAAATGAATCTGCTACTTCCAAACTGACAGAGCCAGGCTAGGTTCTTCAGGGCCTGTGGCAAGAGGCAAAGGCCACGGAGCTTAGTTTATTTTCTAGGTGAGCACAAGTTAAAGCAAGGCCTTAGGCCTTAATCCCAGCCTCAGTGGTGCAAGAAGCCTGGACACGCCTTCAGCCCTGGCAGGGGAGGCACCAGTCAGCCGAGGCCCAGAGAACTCTTCTACCATCCAGGTGCTGAGTATGGAGGGTGTTGAGACCACAGGTGACTGCACTAAAGGAGGCAGCCATTCCCTTTCCACTGCCACCCACTCACCACCCGGTTCTGAGGCCGTAGCAGCTGGGTCAGCCCTGAGAATAGAGTGGAGGAGCCGTGCCCTCCATTTCCCTCCCTGCTCTATATTTTTGAGCATACAGAAAGCCCTGAGTGCACGTGCTGGGATGAAGGTTGCCAGCTTTTCCCCAGAGTCACCGTATGCATGATCTTACTTGATCCCCAGCGATTTCTATCAGGTAGGCGTTAGTGTTCCCATTTTCAGATGAGGCAACAGAGGCACAGAGAAGTCAACTCACCTGCCTGAGGGCACACAGCTGGTAGGAGCAGAGTCTATCTGGTGTGATCTTCAGGTGGCAAGGCCCTTTGCTGCACAATAGCGCTCCC